GACTGCAGTGCTGCAGTTTAATTACTATGCTACGAGGTTCCAGAGATGAGGCGCTCTGCCGCCTGTCCAGCTTTGGATAAGCTGTATGGTCCCAGAAGGAGGAACTGAGAAGCCACACCTGAGAACTTTGTGCCCATGGGAAAGTTATCCGTAATTGATTCAATTGGGTGGAAGGCTTTTAATTCTGGACTTTCAGAGTCCACTCAAAGCACAGCTGTAAGCCATCAGTGTCCCCCTCTGCAATAATGTACAGAACTTGCAAGACGTGGTCCACACACAGACAACCCTTTGCTGCACATAAGACCTTCTTCCTGAGACTGTGCCCTTTAGCAGGAGAGCTGGATGCAAAAGAGAACAGGGCTTCTACCCCCCCACACCTTCTGTAGCTGATGATCCATAGGGTCCCTTCCAGCTGTGCAGTTCTAAGATGATGATGATGATGATGGTGATAATGATGATGGTGATGTGTCGAAGAGGGAATGGCAGCAAGTGTGCCTTCCCATGCAAACTAAACCTGCTAAAATTTGTTCTTCTATTACATATATGGAATTCTTTACCTCTTTTACGTCTGCCCCTCTGTTGATATAGCAAGGATATCTCACGACATTTTGCTGCCAGAGGCAAAAGAGAAGGATGCCCACTTCCCATGATATGTACAGAAACTGAGTGTACTGACAGAGTCCGATTGATTTCTTACATCCATACTGACAATTGGATAACATCTGAAGACAGATGTTTAGTTTAAGAAGCTACACGACAGGGTATGTGGAGCACACAGTTATGCTTTCTGTTAAACTGGACCAAGCAGAAAGCTCAGGAGAAACAGCTGCCCCCAAACCTATTTAAGTTGGCTGCCTTTTTCTGCTGAGTCATGGGGCTCACTCTGTAGGCTACAATCAGTTGGTCCATCATGTCATCAGTAAGGAAGGCAGGATTTGCTGCATACGCACATTCTTACTTTCCATCTTGTTGCCAGAATATCTTGTTACTCTAGACAAGCCCACGAGGGCATGAACTTACTGCAAAAAGCTGGTTGGGATCCTGGCCTATGGAGCTGTTCTGTTTACAGCAGTCATTTCCAACAACCCAGACCAACACTCAGGCCACCAGCTTTGTCATGCAATAAAATAACAACAAAGGAAACATAACTAAGCAGTGAGTCTGAGCACAAAGTATTTTTGTTGATTTTTTTTATTATAATCTACTGGTTGGAGTAATGGACTTAGGAAGATAAAGCTAAGGTGGATCAGTCAGTGTAGGTCAGTAAGTATGATGGAAGAGTGGTACGTTCAGGAATGTAAATGTTCATCATGTCAAACTCTACAGAGATGTCCTGAAGGGGGGGGTCCCAAAAATGGATGCAACTGCACTTCTCCCTTCCCAAAAATTAATTCAGAGTTTTTTCATTAGGAGGGGTGTCTTTTGTCAAACTAATGGCCCTTAATTGTCAGTTCAGGACCAAAACACTCAACATACTTCAGATTACAAAAGGTATAGCCTGAAACAAGACATTGTTGCTAAGAAAATCTCTCTTTACCTCCCCAGCTACTTTGAGGCCTATATCTAACTCAGAAGGTAGCTTTGCTCTGCTTAACATATGCAAGTATAAGCTATAAATAAGGTTGTTACAGTTGTAATGTTGCAGTAGACAAGTTTTCTTTGACTGGAGAACAAAAAAAAAGACTCTCTGGCTTGTCGTGTCAGCTCTGGGGACCAAAATCACTGGGCGGCTGTAGCCCCCTGCCTCCAGGAATAACATCATGGCAACAGAGAAACCAACCTGAAGCATCAGTCAGGGCCAGAGAGGGAGGGGAGGCACAGGGCTTGCTCCCCCTTCCCTCCCTGAAAGGACTTGGCCACTCACTTTCTCTTGGGAGAATTCCTTTCCTCTTTTTGGCTTGAAGCATAAGTGGCCACCATGCACTGGGTGTCCATGTTGGAAAGCCCTCCCTGTCTTCCATTTATTAATTTTCTACACAAATTTTATTATCTCTGTTCATTTAGGGTAGAAGTCTTCTGGCCCAGAGTTATGGCATTGTGATTCCCATTATCCCTTGCCGGCATAGCCAATGGTGAGAGCTGATGGGAGTTGTAGTCCAACAACATCTGGAGGGGCACAGTTGCCCATCTCTGCTTTATGGGATGGTAAGGAAAGCTGTACCTTGTAGAATTTCCTTGCTATGCCGCCCTTAAAATCAGTGGTTCCCCAACCTTTTCTGAACTGCGGACCAGTTGGGGGGACACCCCCCTGCCGCACTCGTGCGTGGGTGTGGCACGTTTGTGGATGAGCAGGGTGCACTCGCGTGTGGGTGGGGGTGCATTCACGTGCATGCATGGGTGAGTGGGGTGTGCTCATGTGCATGCACAGATGGGCATGGCCCGCTCGTAGGTAAGTGAAGCATGCATGCCCGCCATGCCCATCATGCATGCATGCATGCGGGGGAGGCGGGAGATCTGTCTCCAGGGTCTGGCCCTGCGAAGCCCACGGACCGGCACTGGGCCGACAACCGGAGGTTGAGGACCCCTGCTTTAAAATACTTTCTATGGCAACAATATGCTTCAGGTCCTGCGAAGCCCACGGACCAGCACTGGGCCGACAACTGGAGGCCGAGGACCCCTGCTTTAAAGTACTTTCTATGGCAACAATATGCTTCAAGACCTTTGTCCAGAATCCCTTTTTCCTGAGAAAATTTCTGTTTGGAATTATTAGCTGACAGATGTTTTGTACTATCTACAATAAAGATATGCTCTTTGTTCGCTACAGGAAGCTGTAGCTTTTAACCCTAAGATTTCACAGAGTTGGAAATATCTTGCTGGGGGCCTCCACCAACCAGAAAATAAATAAACTGTTGTATGCAAGCAGTTCATGTATACCACAAGCTGTTTGCTTGCTTCATCTAACACCTGTGCTGATTTTTGCTTTTTGTTTTCAAATGGAGGAACACACACAGACAAGGCTCAGAGAAGGAAGAAGGAGAAGGGGAGAGGAGAGATTCAATACAGAGCCTGAACAAATAATTTTTGAAACTACAACTCCCAGAATCCCCCAGTCAACATACTCGCTGACAAGACCAGCTAAAGGTTCTGGAAGTTGCTTTCGAAAGAACTGCTTTTCTGACTTCTGAGTTAACATGTGGTACAAGAGACCATCACAGTTACTTCTTATGATAATGCAGGAGCAGTATAGAATCATGTCGAAAAATTATCTCCCTCAAAACCTGTCATGATCCAGCAACAGGCAAGACCAAACCTCAAAGTGGGGAGGGATACAGGTGTGACTCTACTTTTCGCTTTACAGGCACCAAGGAGGCAAGAGGCTCCCATCCAAGTCCCAATTTTTTGATAGGTTCACCCCTGATTAGTAGCTATTTTGGAAGGGGCTTACCAGGAACCTCCCCATCCCACTGCTCCTGATGCAGTGGGGTGGGGTGGGGAATGCAGCTGCCATTGCTTTGATCTTTGCCTTGACAGTCAACATCGTTCTCTGGCTGAAAATTGCTCTCTCTGTGAGCTCACAGTGACGAAAGCCCTCCTGAGTCATAGCCAGCTGGTCCTGTCTGGCCAGAGAAGAAAACCAATGTTTCTGTTAGAAGACCAATCACAAAACAAAGCAAGCTAATTTGCAAAGTGTTGGAGGGTGCAAAAATGCTATGACCATCTGACATCCTGGGTTATTAAGGAATTCCTTCTCCTTGTCATTCTCATTAATGTACCATCCCCAAATCATCCGGCGTTTCCTATCAGCTTTACCTAATAGCTTGGCTGGCCCTCTTTGCAAAGGTGCTGCCTGCCACCTCTGCTTTGGATCCATCCTTCTCTGTATTGAAGAGCTGGTGACAAAGAGCCCTTAACTCGGAGACCTTACCTGCTGAGGGAGGATGGATGAGGAGGGGAGGTCTCTGAAGCAGAGGGAAGATCTACCAATAGAGCCAGGAGCTCCTGAGCATGGCACATGGGCCCAGCTTCATGTTTGATGGGGGGAGGGGGTTATCTCTGTTTACTTAGACACGTCTGTGTGGGCCCACCTTCTCCTCAAGACGAGGGATCAAATTCTGGCCTAGAAATGAAATTCACAGGGCAATTGTGGGCAGATTATCTTTCATAACGCTAATGTGAGGTAAGAAATAACCCAGCTCTATGCATGTTCCCCGATATAGTGAGAGGGACAATGCAGCTGAGAACATTCTGCTACCTGTGAACCCAGCTCTATGCATGTTCCCCGATATAGGGACAACACAGCTGAGAACATTCTGCTACCTGTGGCAGAACAACAAATGGTGTGTGTGTGTGTGTGTGTGTGTGTGTGTGTGTGTGTGTGTGTGTGTGTGTGTGTGTGCGTGCGTGTGTGTGTGTGTGTGTGCATGCACCCACATCCACACAAACAAGCATCTTCTGTCGTGTGTGTGTGCGCGTGCGCATGCATGCATGTGTGTGAGAGTGTGTGCATGCATGTGCATGCACCCACATCCACACAAATAAGCATCTTCTGTGAATGTGTATAGCATCCAAAGCTAGGCAAACAATACTCAAATCTGAGGGAGAAAACACCACACACTCCTAAGAATAAAACTACAATAGCAACTCATTAAATAACTATTTGGTATCATGTCATGGTAAGATACAAAATCAACTGCTTGAGGCAATCACCTAACTTTGCGTAATGTCAAAGCTGGCCTTGCCTGTGTAAGAAAGAACAAACACACGGGTCACTTTGCTGGGCCAACGAGGAGAAAGCTACAACTTAGCCAAGGTGCCACATGGGTGAGCGGTGGCCCCTGATAATCCACCTGCAAGGCCACCCCTCTAACCCAACGAGGCCACTCTGTTTGCAATGTGGAAAATCACAGGAAGCCCTTTCAACCTCAAGCAGCTGGGTTGAATCATGCAGCTGGTCCGCCTTCAGGTTTATCCAGTTCCTTCCGCTTTTCATCAAAGCAAATAGCAGTGTTTTGGGTTTGTTTGTTTTTTTTGAACCATGAGAAGAACTACCTTGAGAAGAACTGTACCCTTTTTTCCTTAGGAGAAAGAGGAGGACAGAGAGCCTGTGATGCAAGAAAAGAAGCGTGTCAGCACTGTTATGTTGCACGTGCTCATGAGCAACAATGTGCTACTTTCTAAACTCTGTAGTGAGTAAAAGGAACAAACAACTTCTCTCTCTTGGTTGTTGTGGGTTTTTCGGGCTCTTTGGCCATGTTCTGAAAGTTGTTCTTCCTGACGTTTCGCCAGTCTCTGTGGCCGGCATCTTCAGAAGACAGCACCTTCTCTCTCTCTCTCTCTCTCTCTCTCTCTGTGTGTGTGTGTGTGTGTGTGTGTTTCCAGAGTTGGGCTACAGATGGTGGGAAAATCAGGTTGTTCCACTCTGACCAGACTGTTTGCCATCTCATTTCCTGCCTCAGTAGCTTCACCCTCCAGTCCAGATGTTCCTCTCATCCTGCACCTGGGCCCATGAGAATCCCAGTCCCCTTTCACCACTGTTGCCCTGCTCAGATCTGGTACTTATTACTCATCCAGATGCCACTTTTTCATTCAAGAAGCACCGCTGCCCCCACCTGACTTACCAGAGAGCAGATCTGGCTTTTTAAACAACAACCAACATCATGTATTTATTTATTCATTCATTCAAGTTAAAGTTTTTCTGAACCACCTCATTCATTCATTCATTCATTCAATTTAAAGTATTTCTGAACTACTCCTCTGCTCAATGGGCAATAGCTGTCAGTTTCAATTCCACCCACATTTATTTTTTCCATCTTAAGTTCTTCCAATTGTACTTACAAAAATATGTGAATTTTGGAAAGTTATTTTTTTTAAAAAAAAAAGTGAAAGAAATTAAATACAGTCTGAACAACATTCTGGCTTAATCCTAGTCTTTACCTGCAGTAACCAGGAGACAGAATCAGTTTAGGTGGATGCCCAGCTTTCAAAGACTAGAGAAATTCTGTTCACAGTGTCTTATCCACATCTGGACATATGGGTGAGGTGAGGCAGCCTCCGGTTCTGGGAATTTTTTCAGTGCTTTTTTTACTAGGCCAGCCCACCATTCAGGGGGTCCAACTAGCAACCCTTCTAGCAGTTCTATGTGGAGTCTGAGGACAGTGGAGAGGCAGCATAGAGATTAAGTAACACGGCTTTTCCTGAGGAAAGGCACTAAGGCTTTTTCCATCACATGCAGACGGACATCACAAGACAACTTCCCCTTGACTGCTGCTTCATCATAGCAGAATGGTGACACCTTGCGGCCATTTTTTACTGGTGCAGCCACTACACCATTATGAATGCAAGAGCAGGTGGTCCCTTTATTCGAACACTTTAAAATACTGTATTATGGTAACACTTCTCTTCCAAAGCATCTTCACCAGTACCAGCCACAGCACGAGCTAGTGAAACAGCCCTGGGGCTGCCCTGGGAGAGTGGTGGAGCTGCCTCCACTACACACTCATCACCAGTACAGGTGATTGTTTCCACAGCTTTCCTTCATTACGTGACTCCCTCTGTAGGGCAGCCAGTTCTTGCCCAGCTGTTTGGAAATGCTAGACTCCAAGGGGATCCTTGGTATCAAGGCATTGGGGAAAGAGTTAACAAACAAACAAAAAATCACTGTGTGTTCTGACCACATTGTTCCACAATGCCTCGAGCCCAAGGACCTTCAGAACCAGGCATTGGCTGAGAAGTGGCTAAGACAGTGATCAGACAAGGTAAGTTTTTACTGGTGGCTTCTTCCTCGCTCCACAGGAGTCTTGTGTATGAGGAGAATGGCAGTGACATGAAGAGGCAGCAGTTCTGTTCCTGTGGCAGCATAAGCCAGGTCCAGTCTTAATTCTAAGGCAAAAATGGGGAATGTGTGGCCTTCATTCACTTCAGCTTCCATAATCCCATAATCCATAATTCCATATTCATAGTTTCTATTGACAGGGGCTCAAAGATGTTGCAGTTCAGCAACATCTAGAAATATATTCGCGAAGGCTTTCACGGCCGGGATCTAATGGCTGTTGTGGGGTTTTCGGGCTCTTTGGCCGTATTTTGAAGGTTGTTCTTCCTAACGTTTCGCCAGTCTCTGTGTCCGGCATCTTCAGAGGACAGCACTCTGTACTCTGGTGCTGTCCTCTGAACACGGCCAAGAGACTGGCAAAACGTCAGGAAGAACAACCTTCAGAACACGGCCAAAAAGCCCGAAAAACCCAGAACAAACATCTAGAAAGCTATACTGTATGTTCTCTATCCATCCAAGGTTAAAACTCATAACCGTCAAATCACCACACTGGCAAAAATACAATTCAAAACAATACAGTGATACGACAGAGAATATATAACCATAAATATATGAATAACCTTATGAAAAAATTTAGAATTGACCGTAACCTGATGTGAGCAAATCATCACTGATTTGCTAGCAGAAGAAAATACAAAATGGCGAATTTACTGTCCTTTGGTACGAAATGTATACAGACTAGATATACTGTATATTTTTTTACTTGTTATCTGACTGGCCCCCTATTTTTGACAAGACTGGCTTGGACTCTGGTCTGAGCCCTGTTTTCATCAGCTGATGGCCTCCAGTTGTTTTGGACCACGACTCCCAGCCGTCTCTCACAGTTGATTATCAGGAGTGATGAAGATTTTAGTGAAACATCTGGATGGCCACAGCGCTTAGTAAGAATCGACGGGCTTCTTGCATTGCTGTCTTGAATGCCCATCACTCTCTTAAACTGCAGACATCAGTACCATTTCTTTTAACTATCTTTTTTTTCTGACTTATATTCCCTTTCTTTATTTAATATCTTGTGCACAGAAGAAGCCCTCTGACATTCAACTGTTCACACAACACTAAAGTTGAGCAATTGGGAGCCATGTTGGCATAAATCTGTCACGTGCCCTGCCATTTCCACAGACTGGTTCATTCTGCTGCTATTTCTCATGCTCATCTATGGAAACAGCTTGAAATACTGGGTTGTTCGGTTTGTTGGTTTGTTTGACTAGCCACGTTGGCTGGGGAATTTGGGGAGTTATAGCCCAGAAAAGCAACTTGTCCCAGTTGTACAGGGATCCCAACACTCTCCCGGTTGTAGGCAACTTTCAGTGTCAAACAAAACTTACTTTTAAGTTAGGCCTGTGGTTTCTTGCCCAAGAGCCGTATCGGGCAATTCTCCTTGGAGAGTCTGCCCTTAGAACTCTTTGCAGCTGAACAGATTAGTAACTGGAAAGACACAAAAATGCAAGGAATCTTCTCTTATCAGCAGCTGTCAGAGGTGTTGTTCTAAGCCAGCATGAGAATGACGCCATATATGTTTGTGAGCTGGGGCCTCGTTCTTTGTACCAGCAGGTCAGCTCTGAGCTAGAGCAGTGGTTCTTAACCTTTGTTACTCAGATGCTTTTGAACTGCAACTCCCAGAAACCCCAGTCAGCACAGCTGGTGGCGAAGGCTTCTGGGAGTTGCAGTCCAAAACTCCTGAGTAGCCCAAGGTTAAGAACCAGTGAGCTAGAGAATATGACTAACGGTCTGCTGAGTAACAACAGAGCAGGAACAGGAGGGCAGCTAGGACTGCCAGGTTCTCAGGGTGCTGGATGAGACATCAGAGGATTCTTACGATTTCTATATTTGTGTGAGGGGGTCTACTTGTCCCTCTGTGGTCTTTCACACTGTTCCTTCTACCAAGACCTTCGTAAAAAACCTTCTTTTATCTAGTCTCCCAAAATTTCCCGAAAGAATAAAAAAATTCTACATTTATCTCTTACTTTCTGAAAAGGTCCCCCATATCACTAACAAAGTGGCCAAATTTTGTACAGTCACCATAGCCTGCTACAGCTCCTTGATCACCTAATGATGATGTCTTGGATACTTTCGATATAAACTGTGGCATAAATGTTATACCCTTAGGGAGCTATCACTTGGTATAATGCATGTTGCAAGTTTTGTATAACTTATTGTTTTACTGTTTTATTCTCCTATATTGTTCTATTTGGTTGGTCTTTGACGGTAAATAAATAAATACAGTGAAGCCACTTGTTTCTCTAGACCACTGTTATCTGGGACTGGCAGGACTCTCCTGGCTTCCAGGCAGGTAGCCTTTCATCTCACTTCCTCCCTGATCCTTCCAACTGGAGATGTGACAGAGAATTTCTGTATGTGTTCTATCAAGCTTTGAACTTTCAGTGCTGCGTCCCAGTGCTTAGGCTCCTGGCTTCAGTGCCAGGGCTCAGAACTAGAACCTGAGATGTATACACAAAGGTAACCCCAGCAAATGATGAGATGCAGAGTAAGTAAGGCAATGCCTTCTGTGGGACTCATTTTTGTTATTGAGGCTTATATTGTATGCATGGAGAGTCCTGAAACCTTAACTAGGTCTTGCTTTAGCAAAGAACAGTGGCGGTGTTCTTGGCCAGAATCTTGGCAAATGTCACAGTGGCTCCATTTGGAATACAGGTGTGCACACACAACGTCCTGAAATGCAGTGGCAGATCAGAGGAAGTATTGAAACATGACCCAACTGTATTTCCGTGTCTGCTTTGTGCAAGAGAAGTCTCGTGTTCTCCTTCATTAAAATTGCAGGATGTCTGTAACATTTCTCCTCCATCAGGCTGAGCAGGAGGCAAATCCCGCAGACAACAAGACCCTGCGTGCTTTGGGCGCATCGGTTGCAGACAAGACGGTTCCTGGGCTGCCCTCTAGCAAACTGGGGCTGAGAGAGCCAAAGGGAAACAGTTCAGCAAGCAAAGCACAGAACGCATGACAGGAAGAAAAAACAAAAACCAACAAAACCACCAAGTGATGACAAATCAGAAGGAAAGTGAGTCACTCCTTCTGCATTTTTCTCTCCCCTGCAGCCCACAAATGAAGCAATGAATGGTTTGATGGCAGAGACAAGGAAGAGCCCCGCCCAGGAAATCTAATTTTATGTGGCTCATTTTGAAGTTTTCACTGAAGCAGAAGCTGCCTGTGTGAGTTACTACCTTGGTGAGTGTGAACACAATCTTTTACAACTGTAGTATGCAAATGTCAAAAACAAGACAAGAAGTGTGCCTGGGTGTGATTGAGGCTCGGAATGGGCAGGCAAAGATCTGGGCCGGAGCATCTTGGTAGCTACAAGCTTTGTTTGCTTTGTCTCCATCTGCTCACTGGACACTGAACGTTCTTCTCCCTTTCCTTGTGGGGTAAGGTAGGGAGCTGTTCTGCACTCAGCTGGGAACCTTGGTTCACCTCGCCCAATACGGCCCAAGGTTTCGGGCCAGAATTCCTCAGCTCTTCCTGGTGACACTGAGGGCTTGACGTTGGCACACTGAACAGGAACTGGAACTCAACTTTTTAAAATGGGGAAGCGTGTGTTTAAGGGAATAAGAAGATACGGTAATCAGATTTGTACGACTCACTCCGCCCCATCTCTTATAGTTTTCACTAAATTATATGCACATATATTCCTGTTGCTTTTTCTTTCTTTGTTTGTTTGTTTTAATTATCTAAGTGGGTGCCAAAGTTGCTCAGGGACTTTTCCCATCTTCTCCCTCCCCTCCAACCCATTTTCACTTATTTACTGTTACAACTAAAGCTTTTGACATACATATTTTTCCGTGCATAAGATGCCCCCATGTATAAGACTCTCACCCAAAATTAAGAAATCTAAGTGGGGTTTAGCAAGTGGGGGGGAAGCCCTGCCAGATCACTGTGATCTCTGCTTTCCCCTCCACCTATTTTTGTTTTCTCCTCAGCTTACTTCCGTGTATGAGACGACCATTAATTTTTAGTCTAAAGATTTTAGATAAAAGAATAGTCTTATACACAGAAAAATATGGTATTTTTAAGCCAGAAAAATAAGTGGAGGCCTGTTGCAACAAAATCCAGTAGCATATCCCCTAGCCCAAAATGTAATGCTTCCATTTGAGACTTGAGCCAGCTGAGAAGAGGGAGCCTCAAAGTCCTGTTCAAACCTTGCTGGAAAAGGGGTTTCCAAAAGAAATTCTTATCTTCCCCCTCCCCACCTCTGGGAGCTTTCTTCTGCTATACTGAAAGGATGAGATAGCAGCTAATGAAGAACATCTCTAGCTGGGGTACGGGAGAGCTGTTGCCAGAGCCAATATTGTATTAGACAAACAGATAATAGACCTAGTATGACGGCAGCCTGCTGTGCGATATAGAGGGCTCTTGTGTGGGGTTGCCAGTCCGGCACCTGCTTGCAGAAGTTTCTAATTCAGATCTAAACTGAAATCCCCAAGCCAGGATGACCATGCTGGCTGGGGAATTCAGAAAACTGTTATTCCAAAGAGTAATTTTCCCAAGCTTTGGGCAGTGGTCAAGGAAAACACTTTATTAGCAGAGGCAGACATTTTCTTTGCTTCCTGTAAAGGCTTCCCTGTACGGCTGAGGGGAAAGGGGATTAATCCTAAAATGCAAAATGTTGCCATAGCTCAAAGACAGAGCATCTGCCTTTGCACACGGAAGGTCCCCTGTCCAGTTCCTGGTCTCTCTCAGGGCCTCATCACACAAGATCATTTGAATCATGCTTATTGCTAAGCATTTTATTAGAAAGGGGATTAATCCTAAAATGCAAAATGCTGCCATAGCTCAGAGGCAGAGCATCTGCCTTTGCACACAGAAGGTCCCCTGTCCAGTTCCTGGCCTCTCTCAGGGCCTCATCATACAAGATCATTTGAATCGTGCTTATTGCTAAGCATTTTATTTTTAAAAAAAGTTTAAGGGTACAAGCGTGGTGGCCATGCAATGCCCATGGTGCCCGAGAACCCAACTTTTATGCACACAATAAATAAAAATTGACAGTTGTGTTCATAGGGGACAAAATGATGTTCACAAGGACATACTGGTGAGGTCAGAAAAAAACTGATTGACTTGTCTACACATTCTATGCACATTCTAGTTAATAGAAGGAATGCTGGGAATTGCAGTCCGACAAGAGTTTACAAGAGGTCACTCAACTCAATGAGTTAGACTTCTGGCTGTAAAGCCAGAGGTTGGGCATTCAATTAGATGCACAAATCCAGGATGTCCACAGAAGAAGGAAATGGAAATTCTATACCTAGAAAATCCTGAAAAGGTTCACTATAAGTCAAAATTGACTTGATGACATGCAATTATTGTTGTTGTTATTTCCAATAGTTTACAAGAGGTCACTCAACTCAATGAGTTAGACTTCTGGCTGTAAAGCCAGAGGTTGGGCATTCAATTAGATGCACAAATCCAGGATGTCCACAGAAGAAGGAAATGGAAATTCTATACCTAGAAAATCCTGAAAAGGTTCACTATAAGTCAAAATTGACTTGATGACATGCAATTATTGTTGTTGTTATTTCCAATAAGTACAATTCACCATAAATCAAAATTGACTTGATGACATGCAATTGTTGTTGTTGTTATTTCCAAGAAGTACAATTTCCCAGCTCTGCTAAGAGTGGTATATTCTGTGTCTGACAACCATAAGTAAGATATTTGTTTATTGGCAGATTCCCGGAACCATGTACACGGCAGCTCCCAAGAGGTAAGAAGCTCTTTATTTTCCGTTCAGTCAAAGCCTAATACCTATTTTAAAAGGCAGAGGGCATTTTTAAAAGGAGTTCTAGTTGACAGATGTTCTAGTTGGTGCAATTTTGCTGGTTCTGCTTAGTCTTTCTAGGTATTCTCACTGTGTTTAATTATAGACAATTGGCCAGAATTCCCTGGTGCAATGTACACTGGTGTAGGAGAAATGACACCATCACCAACAGTATATTGTTAAAGGGTCCCTGCTTTGATTCTTAGTCATCTGTGACGTGTGCACAATGAAACCAAGTAGAAGCAATTAGGAACCGAAATGGGACCCTTTAATTAGCAGCAATATCTTTCATCAGAGTAAGTTACGCAAGAGGATTTGGGCCAGCCGTTTTTGTTCCATTTTGTTGTTGTTTTTTGGTCTGTAAGTCAAATCTCAGTCTGCAAGTCAAACCTAAATTTTGCGGCCAGAGAAGTCTGTAACTCAAAAAGTCTGTAAGTCAAGCCACCTGTAAGTCAAGGGTCCACTGTATCTTAAGAATCCCCATCCTATACCTGAAAGAAAGACAGATTTGAACCAATATGAATAATTCCTGTAACAATGCCATGGCCATTCTTGCTTTTCGGGTCCCTACTGATGATCTTTGGAACCAATATGAATAATTCCTGTAACAATGCCATGGCCATTCTTGCTTTTCGGGTCCCTACTGATCTTTGAACTGAAAAGAGATCCGAAGGTTGATGGATTTTTATATGGGTAGCTCTGTTCATCTTTTGCATCAAAATAATAAAGAGTTGTGTGGCACATATAAGACAGATCAAACACTTTGGAATTATTTTACATCTCTCCCAGAAAGGTAACATCAGTTTCTGGACAATAGACAGATTTGAACCAATATGAATAATTCCTGTAACAATGCCATGGCCATTCTTGCTTTTCGGGTCCCTACTGATCTTTGAACTGAAAAGAGATCCGAAGGTTGATGGATTTTTACAGGGGTAGCTCTGTTCATCTTTTGCATCAAAATAACAAAGAGTTGTATGGCACATATAAGACAGATCAAACACTTTGGAATTATTTTACAGTACATCTCTCCCAGAAAGATAACATCAGTTTCTGGACAATTTTTCTGCACTGTCCATGAAGGGGGTGTGCTTAGAGCCTGATGAAGTAGATTTCATCCAAGAAAGATTGCCATTTGTTTTATTTTTTTACTGGTCCAATAAAAGGTATCACCTCCTCTTGCATTTGGATTTCTTGTGATTCATTATGGATTTTTATCTTATGCAAGCCTTCTCCAAATGCCCATATTTCAGGTGGACTGGACTACATTCTTCCTCATTCCCAGCCAACATGACCACAAATGCAAGTTGTAGTGGTTGTTGTGGGTTTTTCAGGCTCTTTGTAGTCTTATGCTATTTTAGGGTATAATACTCTCTGCGTACATCTCTCCCAGAAAGATAACATCAGTTTCTGGACAATTTTTCTGCACTGTCCATGAAGGGGGTGTGCTTAGAGCCTGATGAAGTAGATTTCATCCAAGAAAGATTGCCATTTGTTTTATTTTTTTACTGGTCCAATAAAAGGTATCACCTCCTCTTGCATTTGGATTTCTTGTGATTCATTATGGATTTTTATCTTATGCAAGCCTTCTCCAAATGCCCATATTTCAGGTGGACTGGACTACATTCTTCCTCATTCCCAGCCAACATGACCACAAATGCAAGTTGTAGTGGTTGTTGTGGGTTTTTCAGGCTCTTTGTAGTCTTATGCTATTTTAGGGTATAATTGCCTACTCTCTGCATGAACAAGTATGCCAAGATGCAGCCATTTTTTATGTCAACCAAGGAAGGAAAGATGGAATAACTGCCCAGTGTTTTTTCATTGGTAGCCATAGGAACTGTCCATTAGCATCTGTAGTCATAATATGATCAAATGATTTATCAGCAACACAATAGTTCCTGCGCCTGGCCAAAATTAAGCTATTAAAATAGCAAATCTCTCAGATTAAGATTTGTATATGCCAACATGCAGCCATTTTTTATGTCAACCAAGGAAGGAAAGATGGAATAACTGCCCAGTGTTTTTTCATTGGTAGCCATAGGAACTGTCCATTAGCATCTGTAGTCATAATATGATCAAATGATTTATCAGCAACACAATAGTTCCTGCGCCTGGCCAAAATTAAGCTATTAAAATAGCAAATCTCTCCGATTAAGATTTGTACTTGTATAAGCAGGTCATTCCAGAGGTCAGCATACTTATTATGATAAATACATTACAGAATCCTTTTGCATAGATCTGTGTGTAAAGAGCTGATATCCCGGATGAGAGGAGGTATAAGCAGGTCATTCCAGAGGTTAGCATACTTATTATGATAAATACATTACAGAATCCTTTTGCATAGATCTGTGTGCAACAGTAATGACATCAACAGGAGTGATAAATTGCTGATGATTAAAGGCAATTTTGAGGTGCACATAATTCATACAAAATGCAATGAAGTCATCTGCATTCCAAAAATCACCAAAGGAAGACATTTATCTGCAGCAACTTGCCACTGGTGATATCATCACCATAGTGCATGCAGTGCTGTGCAACAGGATTTGAGCCAAAAAATTTACAGGCATAGCCATGTAGGCCTTCAGGAAAAAATTCAAAATCCTTTTCTGATAATACTTTTAAGAGGACAACTAAAACAGGCATCCATGCCCTAACCCACCCCCAAATACTGTTCAGACTTTCAAGAACTCTAGCCGCCTTCTTCAGTCAAAGATCCTATAAATAATTGGGAAGGGAAATGGAGTATGCCTTCTAAAATCAGTAAAGCCATGTTTTCTGCACATCTATTGAGATGTTATGGGAGGAAGGCATTGCAGTCACTCACACAGGCCTCATCAAATACTGGATTTCACATTGAATATCCCCTAGACTTGCTGGAAACAAGAAAAAAATGGTCATAAACTTTGCATCACAATTTTGAAAATATAAACCATCCTCTTTGTCTGGGCCCAGTGCAAGTCTTACAGTCCTCTTTGTAGGAAGACAACGTACAATGTTCAGCAAGAACTCGCAAGTCTGGGTAAAATTTTAGATGCTGATCAGGCAAGGCAAGTCAATCAATACAAAGTTGGGTAGGTGGCTATAGTTTTGGTTGGGGAGAATGAAGTCCTCCATATTTTGAACCTCTTTGAGCATGGAATAGCAGAAGCATCACTCACCAAGTCCTTTTGAGAGATCAGACTGCCAATCTGTAATTGTTTGACAGGTTTTGGCGAGGAATGGGAGCTGGTTCTTGCTCTTCCTCTTTTTTTCCTCCCCATGTCCTTTGGACATTCTTTTGGAAGACTTCCTATTCAGCTGCTGAATCCAGTTCGTTCTTCCCACTAGAGTAAACTCTTCCTGCCTTTTCCTCATCTTGACTGGAACACAAAGACTGCTAGCATTGCTGTAAATGCTTCTTACCTCCACTGGAACACAGAGTTCCTACCAAAATTTCAGTTTTCAGAAAGACCACTATCTCAAGCAGCGGCCTGGGTGTTCAGCAGTTCAGTTCCACTTGGCTGCTTCTGTTTAATTTTGCCTTCAAATCACTCAACTTCAACTCCCTGCTTTGTCATTAATTTAAAAATCATTATATCCTATTTTATTCCACATACTCCATATAAATACTCCCTAAGCAGCATGTCGGTCACATGACCACGGATAGTCTCTACAGACAAACACCAGCTCTTCGGCTCTGAAGGGAGGTATATAAGGGATGGTTTCACCTCACACACACCTCTATGTGAGTTTTCATGGCAGAATCGGGGAATAGAACCCAGATTGCCTGAGTCCTAATCCATTATTCTGTCCACTACACCAGCGGCCCCCAACCCTGGGCCCCCAGGTGGTCTTTGACTATACTCCCTAAGCAGCATGTCGGTCACATGACCACGGATAGTCTCTACAGACAAACACCAGCTCTTCGGCTCTGAAGGGAGGTATATAAGGGATGGTTTCACCTCACACACCCCCGTGTGAGTTTTCATGGCAGAATTGGGGAACGGAACCCAGATTGCCTGAGTCCTGATCCATTATTCCGTCCACTACACCATACTGGGCACCACAATTTTGTGTTTAGACCTGGTGTGTCTCCATTTTAGCTGTTACATTTTTTTTTAAAAAAAGTGACACATTCATCATCGTATCTCGTCCAACATTCCAGTGCTTCACTTTTCTCCCTTTCTGCCTTGCAGCGGCTCTCCTTTCGATGATTCCGTCAAGGCCCTAGGCCTACACATCTGGCGAGTGGAGAAGATGAAACCTGTATGTGTCCCGGCAGAAATGCACGGCATGTTCTACACTGGGGATTCCTACCTGATTCTCCACAACGGACCCGAGGAGCACTCCAATGTGCACATCTGGATTGGTACATAAACATCAGCAAACATGCTGGTGTCAAAATGAACCATAGGAAGCCACCTTATACTGCCTTAGGCTTCGGCCATTAGTCCATGTGGTACAGTATTACTAACACTGACTTATTTCAGACCTCTCCAGGGTTTGAGGCAGGGATCTTTCCCATCCCTAGCTGGTGTAGCTAGGGCTTGGACTGGTCACCTTCAACTTGTGAAGCAGCTGTTTTATCACTATTGAGTTATTCCTTCTCCTTATGCCTAAACATGGACCCCTGTCAGTGAATTGATTAGATAGAGAAATCTCATCTACTCTTATCTTGTAAGTGTAAAAAGCTATCAATAATAACCTAGTGAACAAAGGCAATCTTCCTCATGTGTAAAAGGGTGCTGGTGAAATGTCTCCACCAATTTCAGACGTCTCTTTCAATTTATTTAAGAGAAATTGAAATGTTGCTTCCTTAGTACAGCCAAAATGGCCAGTTTTTGTTAGATAACTGATTTCTCTCTTTCAGGCCAAAACTCTTCCCGAGATGAACAGGGAGCGTGCGCACTGCTCTCCACCCATCTCAACTCCTTTCTGAAGGAAAGGCCGATCCAGTATCGGGAAGTGCAAGGCAATGAGTCTGATGTTTTCATGGGGTACTTCCCTCATGGCATCAAATACAAGGTGAGAGATACAGTGGCAGATGAATGCTAGCACCTAACTGAAGCATTCTTTGATGTGCATATACTATCAATGGGAATCTAGGGGCTTGAGGAAAACATGTAGGGACACAGCCATAGACGCAATCTTGATGGGAAATAACGAGAGATGGGGGTGTTTATATATGAATTTGAATATCCCCACACAGGTGGCATTAACAAGGGTCCAGCCCCCTGGGGCTGGCCAGTCCACTCACCGATCTGACATGGACGGTGCAATTCTACGAATGGCTCTGCAGTGCGCAATCCATTCGCTACACCTGGCAGGAGGCCAAGCCTTGCCGCAATCCACTCGCTACTCCTGGCAGGAGGCCAAGCCTCGCCGCAAGGTTGAAGAGTGGCAAGCGGATCGTGCGCTGCGGAGCCATTAGCAGAATCACGCCATCCGTGGTGGATCGGTGAGTGGACTATCCGGCCCCATGGGGCTGGACCCTCATTAATACCACCTGTGCGGGGATATTTGAATTCGTACATGAATAGCCCCATCTCTAGATATAACTGTAATAAAGAGCTGAATATCCCTTCCCACATCAATCTAGTTTTCCTCTGGATGTTTTGCTTATTAGAATGAGCCTTTCTACCAAACCACAAACTCTTTAACATTTTTACTAGGGATGGAATAGTAATCTGTTGGGTTTACAATTTCCAGTGGGCCTAGATACAGCTTGCCTCAGAACCTGCTAGATAGCTTTAGATATCTGGCTGCAGAGCTGGTGGTTGGGAATTCAATTCCCAAATGTGCCTCTCTGACGGGGGCTGGTCTAGATGATCCATAGGGGCCCTTCTAGTTCTCCTGTTCTAAGACTTCCACAAAGAGAAAAAACCCAGTGGGATGGGGCCATAGCAGGAAGACAGTTAGAAGGAAATCCTTGCAAGATCCTAATCTGGATCATGTTCAAGGCTCATTTTCCATGCAGAAAAATGTGTGTTTTCAAAAGATATGTATAGATATATGCACTAAATTCTATCTCATGGGATGTGTGCGTGGTGGGAATGTCACAATCTAATGCAGAACTGAGGCTGCGATCCCACCAGCAAAATGTTCTCTACTTATGCCCCAGTAAGATCGCTGATACCAACTCTCCAGATGAAGAAGCTACTTGGATGAGTAGTGAAATGTTTCAACCTAACAAGAAGTCCACTTGCCATGGCTCAGCTTCCAGATAACCTCACCTGGATGACTAAGAATCTGCACAGATATATCTCAGTGTGGATGGACTGCTTCTGTAAACTGTCCTGAAATCACTCCACCTACTGTCAGGGAAACAGCACAGCCCTGGGCAGAGGCGCCTGGTCCTTTACGTGCAATGCACCGCCTTCCAGAGGTGCAGGGGCAAAAGAGGAAATCCTACCCATCAGGAAACACTAGCTGACATATTGATGTATTGTTAATTTTTAAAAAATTAAAGTTAAGGGGCTTCAGTGCCCCCTAGAACAAGAGAGAAAATAATCCTGTACCACGGTGTAGCTGGCCATAGCTATTCAAATTCAAGGAAATTGATCTGTAACCCCAAAACACATTGGGATGTTCATCCAGGGATATATATATACCACGTGACCACAAAGCACAAGAAAGGAATGGAAAGTATAATTATCAGAGGGGGACTTTTCCCTGGTGTCACCACAGGTTTTGATAGGTTAAGAATGCTAGAGAAGGAAAAAAAATCAGACAAGCCAATTTTCATCTCCCTAACCTGGATCATATATTTCTAGACTTTACCTCCTTCTTCTGTTCTCCACAGGAAGGTGGTGTAGAATCTGCCTTCAATAAAACACAAGCCAACCAACAACCCAGCCCCATACGTAAACTCTACCAAGTGAAAGGAAAAAAGAATATCCGAGCCACTGAAAAAGAACTGAGCTGGGCTAGTTTTAACACTGGGGACTGTTTCATCCTGGACTTGGGAGAGGTGAGTCTGAAAGAGGCTATGTAGATGTAGGGCAGGAAGAGAACAAATATGCCTGCTAGAAAGGAGCAAAGCTTGGAAATACAGTACTTGGATTTGTTTTTTAGACTGAGGAGGCAAGTACATGGACATTGCAGGAAATGCTCCAGAATTGGGATGGTCCGATTCACATTATTTTCAATTGACTACACAGCTTACAAGTCAACAAATCAACCCAGAGTTTTCCCACGAATCCATACTTTTATCTTCTGCCATTGGGGCTTTTATGTTTTTAAAAACAAATACATTCACATTGGTTTAGATAGTGTAACTGTGCTAATGCAGAAAACTTCTGCCATTGGTAAGTACCAAAAAGGAGCAATTCATAAATTAACAAATAGAGAGCAAGGTTTTAAAAATTGCTCCTGTTCTATTTTAAAGTGAGTTTTAGCCCTGTCCATAATAAAAAAGCATTTTCCTTCAAATTTTTCTTCTCTTCCCATTTCATTTCTTTGTTTTTTTAATAAAGGCTTGGTGCCATTTCACTAAGGCACCTGGGAAACCAAAGGGAGGGGGAAGAGTGAGGAGTCAGCAGAGACTGAGGAGGAAATTGCTAATTGGCACTTATTTTCAGCTTGTTAAGGTGGTTTTACTGTAGCTGTGCCTTTGGCAGAACTGGATGAACATCTTAACAAGATGCACACAAGGCTGATTGCTAATTTTCTCCTCTCTTCTCTGCCGATAACTGTATGGTTGTCTAAAGCAAATTCAACCAAGGAAACCCCACTTGCTTGGTGTAAATCCACAGTGGATCCATGTGGATATTTCCTGCTGCATAGTCATACCCTATGTTCCACAGACAGCTAGCTGGATAGGGTTTAGGTAGAAGTTGGGAGCCACAGACTGGAAGTTCAATTTTTCACTGTGCCACATGGGAGAAGAGCCAATTTGTATAGCCGTGAGCAAACTACACAGTCCAGGATAACCCCAGAAGAAAAGAATGCTAAAACCACTTCTGAGTTTACCCAGAAAACCCTGTGAAGGGTTGCCATAAGTGACTTGAGAGGACTTGATGATTATTATGTCTCACAAAACCCAACCCCCTTAGCAGTAGTTAATGGCCATGCTGGCTGGGGAATTCTGGAAGCTATAGTTTAAAAAATTATTTCCCAAGGTCTTTGAAGAAGAAACGTACTGTATATAATGAGTTTATAAGTATATGTGCATTCTGAGGAGTGAAGTGTATAGTTCTTAAGATCGAACTGCAGAATGGATTCTGATAGATGTATTAAGTGCAGATATGGTGTACTGGCCATAAATCAGACAGAGAGTTTTTTTCTTTTGACCTGTCTCCTTCAGAACATCTTTACATGGTATGGGGTAAAATCCAATATTTTGGAGCGCAATAAAGCCCGGGATTTGGCCATCGCAATCCGAGACAGTGAGAGGAAAGGGAAAGCCAAAGTTGAAATTGTTGCAGATGGTGAAGAGCCGGCTGAGATGACAGCGGTAAGATCATTAAGCAAGAGTTAAAAATACAAATGTACAGGCATTGTTGGATGTCTCAATAACTTTGAAGGCAAAGTTTGGAAACGTTACATTTCTGGGCTTCAGCCTCTGGAACTCTCAGCCAGAATGTACACGGTGTTGGCTGGGGGAATTTTAAAGCTGTCATTCAAAAAAGGAACTTTTCTATTGTTTGTTTGGAGGCTATGCAGCAGCAACAGAACGCTGGCTTATATCTATGATAATCCCTCCTAAAGGCAATGTATTTGCCCTTCTCTTCATTGGTTTTAAATGGGCCTTAAACCCACACTTTTTCAATCTGTTTTTAGAAAAGATGTCGGCCTCAGTTTTTAAACTTATCTATTAACTTCCTTTTAATGATACAGTAGCTCTGGGGACTGTACAGTTCTGGTTGCTAAGAAGTCTCCATGTCTCTCCCCCGTAAAAACAAACGGTAGGGACTGTGAGGTGTTTATAATTCTTTTTGGCTGCATATTTATTACAACTATAATATTCATTGATATTGCAGTTTTATCTCCAACTCTGACTCCTGTACCCTTCTAAAAACGTAAAGTCTCTATTTATGCCTCATACTCAAGTAGGGAATGGCCACTGAAAATTGGGTGAAGATGTAGATTTCCATCTACATCTTCACCCAACTTCCTCCCCTTGGGTAGAACTGGTTTTTGGAGGAATGTCTCTGATCCTGGAATTTCCCAGGGAGAACTCTGACCACCGCTATTAATGGGGGCAGGTCTGTATGTAACATCTTGTAAAATTCATGATCTCTTTAAGAGGCGGAATAAAAATATTAAGGAAAATACAGTGGAGTCTCGACTTACGGTCAGCTCCACTTACATACTTTTCGACCTACGGACTTCTCCGGCCGCAAAATTTAACTTCAACTTGCGGCCGGAGAATCGACCTACGGACCAGAAGGGGGAGGTGGGGAAAGGGCCAAATTCAAATCATTTTGCCCCCCTCCCCCCCCCCCCCCCTTCCACTCCGTAGGTCGTGCCTCGGGATGCCTTGCAGGGCTTCTCTGCTGCCATGGGAGGCATCACGGAGGTACCCCCCGCTGCCGATAGTGCTTCGGAGCCACTATCTGCGGCAGGAGGGACCTCCGAAATGCCTCCCATGGTGGCGGAGAAGCCCTGCAAGGCATCTGGAGGTCTCCTACCGCCGCTGGGAGCCGCGCCGGGCAACCTGAGCCATGCTCGGACTCCCAGGAATCCGAGCATGGCTGGGGTTGCCCGGCCCGGCTCCCAGTGGCGGCAGTGGGGGGCTTCCAGGTGCCTTCCAGATGGGGGAGCAATGCCCGGAACGCGGGGCAGGCCTGGGTTCGCCCGGCCCGGCTCGGCTCCCAGCAGTGGCGGTGGGGGACCTCCGGATGCTTTCCAGGCAGAGAAGCAATGGAAGACATCCGGAGCCCCCCCTGCTGCCGCCGCCATCGCTAGGAGCCGCACTGGGCAATCCCAGTCATGCTCGGACTCCTGGGAGTCCGAGCATGGCTGGGGTTGCCCGGCGTGGCTCGGCTCCCAGCAGCGGTGGCGCGGGAACCACCGAAGGTCTTCCCCGCCACCATGGGAGGCCTCTTGGATGTCCCCCCTGCCACCGATAGTGCCTCCAAAGCACTATTGGTGGGGGGGGACCGCCGAGAGGCCTCTGGCAGTGGTGCCGAAGCCCTCAGAGTCCTCCAACAGCAGCAATGGCGGTGGCGGTGGGCCCCTTGTAGACTTCAAAAAGGTGTTTTTTTAAACATTTATTTTTAATTTTATGTCTGTGGGGGGGGGTGTTTCTTGGGCGGTGTACGGATTAATTGGTATGGACTTTTCGACCTACGGACTCCATTCCAATACGGATTAATTCCGCAGGTCGAGACCCCACTGCAATGTAAACTGTGATGCTAGTGTGGACATTTTCCTCCGGGGGCAGGAAGGCTATACAGGTTGTGTTTTAGCTCCTAAAGTCCTTATGGGAGAATTTAGGAAAAGAACCTCCATGAAGGAGTATACAAATTGGCCAGTGAATTTATTAATGTGTCTCAGGCAACAATATGTCTCGGATCAGGCCTGACTCTACTGCTAACATCAAATTTGAAGGGGGCGATTATTGAAGGTTACGAAGCATGGAGACCTGGGGTTCTAAGGCACATCGTGTACATGTCATAGGGATGTATTCAAATTCACCAGTAGCTGTTGCTTCCTCCTAGGTTTTGGGTCCTAAGCCAGTTCTGAAACAAGGCAGTCCTGAGGAAGATGTTGTTGCTGATCAGAAGAATGCAATTTCAGCTGTGCTGTATAAGGTATTTTTGCTTTCTTCATGCAAAGTGACATGTCAGGAGAAAGCATCTCTGTGAAAGCTCTCCATACAAGCAGAACATGGGAAAACCAGGTGTCTGGCTCATGCGGTGATCCTCCATGGACAGAACAAACTTTCCACCTTCACACAGTAGTGTTGACATGATGAAAATGATACAGAGGCAGTGGGCCTAACTCCTATCCCTCACTGCGTGTTTTGGTAATTAATGACTGCACCAGGCTTTCACTGTATATTTCTCACAAACCTGGAGGAGCCGACACCTAAATTTCAAGAGACTCACAGACCTCAGCTTCATCAAGACACTGACTACTGTTTCCTTTTTCAATCCTCAGGTCTCTGATATGACAGGGAAAATGAGTCTGACGAAGGTCTCTGAGGCCAGTCCGTTCCATCAGAACCAGCTCATCACAGACGACTGCTTTATCCTGGACAACGGACAGAGTGGCAAGATCTATATCTGGAAAGGTAAATCTGTGAGCCATAGGCTGCCATAAGAACAACGTCAATATCTAGCGCAAGACCAAAAATGTAGGGTACTTATACACTTACAAGTAATATCAGCTCTGTGGTGTTGGCCATTCTGATAGATCTACTCAAGAGTGACCATCATCCGTGCCTGATCAAGCTCTCACTTTCTAGAAAAGTATGCTTCTGGCAAGTCTTTCTATGCCGTAGGGATTTATCATGTCTTCTCCCCCAACGATGAGTGTATTTCTTAGGCTTCTGATTCACCTATCCATGCTATGTATCCCTCAAGACTACTGCTGGAAGAAAATCGCAGGTTAAAATGCCCATCAGTACACGCTCCATCTCAATATTTGTATCCCTCAAGACTACTGCTGGAAGAAACTCGCAGGTTAAAATGTCCATCAGTACACACTCCATCTCAATATTATTTATATATGTACAGTGGTGCCCCGCATAACGAGTGATTCGTTTAACGACGAATCCGCATAGCGATGTTTTTTGTGATCGCAAAAGCGATCACATTGCGATGTTTCTAATGGCCAAAAATCACTTTGCGATGATCGGTAAGCATTTCGCTTACCGATTTTCGCATAGCGATGTTTTTTTTAACAGCTGATTGGCGGTTCCAAAATGGCTGCTGGGTAAAGAAAATGGCCACCCGTACGGCTGCTGGGTAAAGAAAATGGCCACCCGCACCATTTTTGTGCCCTTTCCTCACTTACTGGGCAGCAAAAATGGCAGCCGCATGGAGGATTTCCTCATAACTGTGAGGTTTTTGCCCATAGAAAGCCTATGGGCTTTTTTGCCCCGCATAGTGACAAATCCACATAGCGATGATTTTTGCGGAACAGATTATCGTCGCTATGCAGGGCACCACTGTACAAGTATTCATCACCTATTTTTGTGCCCTTTCCTCACTTACTGGGCAGCAAAAATGGCAGCCGCATGGAGGATTTCCTCATAACTGTGAGGTTTTTGCCCATAGAAAGCCTATGGGCTTTTTTGCCCCGCATAGTGACAAATCCACATAGCGATGATTTTTGCGGAACAGATTATCGTCGCTATGCAGGGCACCACTGTACAAGTATTCATCACCTATGTGACCAGTATTGTTGCTATGCGGGGCACCACTGTACAAGTATTCATCACCTGTGTGACCAGCACAATGCTTAAATACAAGCCTGAACTACAGAAGAATCCTGTCTTTCTTACAGAGGAAGCCAGTTTCCCATTTTATCTGCCAGAAAACACCGGCTATGCTCAATCAGCATCAAATAAGTTATTATCTGAGAACTTATCCTTCATTCTTCTTCTCTTGAGCAGGTCTTAAAGCTAATGAGCAGGAACAGCAGGCTGCTCTAAAAGTGGCAGAGGACTTCATCTCCCAAATGAAGTACCCCCTGAATACACAAGTAAGTATCTGGAGGCTGTACAAATGGCCAATCAAAATGTGCAGAAGCTCTAATGAAGGAAGAGGAACCCTCCATTCTGAATGTAGACAGCATAGAACATGAACAGAGTAGCTCATCAGAGAGTATAGGAAACAAGGGAAGGTTGAAGGAACTAGATACCTTTTAATGCAGACAAGAGACTTGGGGAGATACCTAATGAAGGAAGAGGAACCCTCCATTCTGGAAACAAGGGAAGGTTGAAGGAACTGGATACCTTTTACTGCAGACAAGAGAAGACTTGGGGAGATATGATAGTACCTTTTTCTACAAGCTCTGGCTTGTCTGCCACCTGCATTCCTACCTGGAGCCAGCAGACCTTGCCATAGCTACCCGAACAGTGGTCACCTCACAAATAGTCTACTAACATGCACTTTACATGGGGCTGTCTTTGAAGAGAGTTATGAAGTTTCTTAGGTATGAAAAAACAGGCAACTGTATGCTGATGGAGGCCAGAAAAATTGAGTGCAGTTCTAATTTGGTACCAACTAAACTGGCTACCAATACGCCTATATGCTCCATTCAGTTTGCTGGTTTTTTAACAACCACAGGCAACTGTATGCTGATGGAGGCCAGAAAAATTGAGTGCAGTTCTAACTTGGTACCAACTGGCTACCAATACCCTATATGCTCCATTCATAGTTTGCTGGTTTGAATGTTTAACAACCTTAATGGTTTTGGACCAGGCTTTCTAAAGAGACACCTTCAACCACATAGACTTACCCAGATGCTTTTTCTCACAAAGGCAATATTCCGGCCACCCTGGTTGCCTCCTTCTGTACTTTTCCATCTCTCTGATATCCTTGCAGAGATAAAAGAAGATAAACTGCACACCGCATTACAAGAGAGAGAGATTTGTGTCTGCATTGGCCTCCTTGTCTCACATGGCTTTATTTCTGTTCCAGGTGGAAATCTTGCCACAAGGCCGTGAGAGTCCTCTCTTCAAACAATTCTTTGTAAACTGGAAGTAAAATCTGAGTTTGTAGCATCCTGGGTTGACATTATTCTGTGTATGTGCCTTACCATCCATGAACCTCTATGCCTTATTAAACTGGAGCCACTATCTCCTCTTTGATATTCTGGTTTTGACTGAATTTAATGTGATCACTGAGGGATGTGGTGGCGCTGCGGGCTAAGGGTCAGAAGACCAAGCAGTCATAAGATTGAATCCACGCGATGGAGGGAGCTCCCGTCGCTTGTCCCAGCTCCCGCCAACCTAGCAGTTTGAAAGCATGCAAATGCAAGTAGATAAAAAGGGACCACCTCGGTGGGAAGGTAACAGCGTTCCGTGTCTAAGTCGCACTGGCCATGTGACCACGGAAGATTGTCTTCGAACAAAACGCTGGCTCTATGGCTTAGAAACGGGGATGAGCACCGCCCCCTAGAGTTGAACACGACTGGACCAAAATTGTCAAGGGGAACCTTTACCTTTACCTTTACCTTTAATGTGATCACGGCACACAGACAGACGTCAAAAAAGTGGGGAACCTTTACCTTTACCTTTAATGTGACAGAGGTCAAAAAAAGCGGGAGAGAGCTCAGATCTGGAATACCTTGTTTTGAATCCACAAGATGTCTCGTTTAATCCCTGGCATCTCCACCTAAGCAGGATTGCAAACAGCGACGGAGACCTTGGAGCACTGCTAGCAGTGAGATTAGACAATAGCTAGCAAAATGGTCTGGCTTAATATAAGGCAATCATGCTGGCTGGGAGTAATGGGAATTGTAGTCCCACAAATCTAGAGAGGAAAGGTGTTTTACTGTGAAACAAAGTATTTTCTCCCCTTTGCTACCTTTCATTTTCTGGATGTTCTGGGAAAGGAGAAAGTTAACTACAGCACTATTTACTGCTGTTTCTGCACTTCCAACCAGGGTTGACCCAAATTTTGCTGCCTGAAGCAAAGGACAAACTGGTATCTCCTCCATTCTTCAGACATGCATCAGATTGTACAGTGAAGTAACTGAACCGTCAGCTGAAACTTCCTTCAACAAAAGCTATCAGAGAAAGTCCTTCATCTCATCTGAGGCAGTGGCCAATGGAGGGGCAATGCAGAGCTGGCCGCAGAGCGTACCCACCTTTGTCCTCTGAGAGAGGAAAATTGGGGGGGGGGTTGTTTTCCAAAGAAGTTGGGCGCTGCCACTGAGGCCCCCTAGGTTCTGCTATATGAGACGGCTGCCTCCCTCTGCAAAATGGAAGGGCCCAACTACTACTTTTGCACTGCTGCCCTGCACAGTCTTTTTTGAATGTTGTGAAGAAAGTGGTTTCTAATAGGTTAAGGAGCTGAATGCATACGACAGCAATCTCTATGGTCTGCTGTTATAGGAAATTGAAAATCCGCTGTGAATTACGGATTTGTAAGCATACAGCTGGTGCTATTCTAGGTTTGCCTTGGCCAGACAGTTCACGCAACTTGAAGGTTATTTTCTAATTAGGAAGGGCTGGTCACCATAAGACCTTTGTTTTCCTCTGCTGTCTCTAGCACTATACAATGTGCTGTATCACCAACTACCATAAAAACAGGTTTGGCCATCCAAAACTAAAATGAATGGGGGGAAAATATATAATTTAACATTAACAACCGTCAATATATCCCCACAGCCTTTGATGCCCATTTTGTACCAAATGGTAGATACTCCATCACCCATTTTAATGTAGACAGGGTAGGTGTGCTAGAAGTAACATTTGCTTCTGCTTTCTTGGGATGCAGGGTGGTGGTGGTGGAAGATACATTCCCAGACATATCATTCATTCACTCACTCACTCAACAGAAAATCTAAAATGCCTGGTATAGAGGGAGCAGATTGACACACCCTCCTTTCCTTTCCAATTCTTGTTTTATGCCACACATTCCGTTTTAATTACCTCTGGTCTTTTAACAAAGTCTCTGGTCTTTAAGCTACAATGATAACTTTGTCAATCCACCAGGCAGGCTCCAGCAAGTGATTCTGAGTCACAGCACAGCTGGGCCGACAGAGGAAATTCAAGAGAGACGCTGCCATTGTGCTGTTCTTTGAAGCAAAAAAGTAATGCATGGCTTTCCTTCCCAGCCAGCACATCTGTTCCTTGCACCAGTCATTTCAGCACGTGTGACTGGTGGCTAAATGCGCCGCCGAAGGAGTGTGCAAGGCCGTGCTCTTGCTGTTAAGGAGCATTGGAAACAGAAGAACTCTCCAAAGAAAGGATGGATGGGAAAAGGTAATCTTTAAGCTCTTGGAAACAAAAAGGTCAGCAGCAGTGAGAGACCTCAGGTGGTCCAGAGGCGAAATCCAGTTCTTCTCATGGCCCAGTTCAGTCCTTTGAGGTTCCTCTGATGGTCGTATCCTCATGGCACCGTTATTTGGGGGGTTGCTCAGCTTTTGTACAAGACGTGGCCCCACTCCACCCCACTGAAAGGTTGAAAGGCTTAATTACTGGCAGTAAGAGCCTGAAGCAAAAATATGGTGTATTTTCGCCCCACCCACAAGTGGAATGCAGTCCCCGATGAACTTCTCTAACACTGAATTTATCCCTTAGAAGGAATAAGATTTCCTACCTTAACAGGATGCTCATAGATCCTACAAAACTTTTTGTATTGTGAAGGGATGTCCTGACTCTTTTTGGACCCCCGTTTCCTATTCAATTTCATCGGTATCCAAACACTGCTTTTTGAAGAATGTGCCCTCAACAGGCACAGAGCCTCGCTATGACCTGTGTCGGACTGCAGCCGCAGCCTGCATCCGAGGCGTTCATTACCACACATCTCATTTAACTGGGAGATTTCTCTTTTTCTTCCTGTCCCAGTCACAAATGCACAACATGGCTGCTTCAACTGGTACCCTAAACTGTGCTTGAAAAGCAAACTTCTGAAAACATTTCTTGTCCTTCCTAAAGAAATCCACGTAGGGTCAGGAGAAGGACAGGTAAACAGCTGAGCAGGGTTGAAGAGAGTACTTGACAGGCAGAACAAAAGCACACGCAGCGCTCAATCTCCAGCTGGGGACCCCGCAAGTCAGGCTGAAGTTCTTCTGCACCCGATGTAGGGCTGGTGGGCATGCTTCTGGGAGGATAGGTTTCGCCTGTGCAATCCAGCCAGTCCTTAGCTATGGATCGAGGATATCCTGTCTGGGGTTTGAGGTTGTGCTGGTCAAACTTCCAGTAATCCTTGTCCTTAAAGACATACAGTGTTCCTGCAGCAAGAAACATGTGTGGAGAAACAAGGGCATTGGGAGTGAAGTATTGTAAGAGAACACTCTGGCAAAGTCGAAGGAACAATTTTTCCTCCCTGGGGAGCACCACCATCCCCATCTCTAGGTGGCCCCTTAAAGGCTATTATATTTTAATATGAGTTTTCATGGACAACTCCACTTCCTTTTTGATGTACAGGCATATTCCACTGAAACTTGTGCTGTAAAGGATATAAGAACCTGTGTCATAAAACAACAATGGTGGAATAACATGGATGTTAATTATACTAAGGAGAGTGGCCATTTACAGACACCAATCATCTTTTCTTTATAGGAGGTTTTGTAAGCAGCTGCACATTAGCAACTGTAAAAGGCCAGTCTCTTCAATATAATTAACATCCATGTTATTCTGTGACAGAGGTTCTTACAGCCTTTACAGCAAAAGCTTCAATGGAAAATGCCCGTATGTCAAAGAGGCTATCATCATCCCACTGTTAAATACCCCACCTTTCTCATCAACCAGCCACAATCTCTGTATCCTGGCACCATGTATAAATATATACCATGTTATCTCTCTCTTATTATGTCTAAGGAGGTGGACTTGTCCACAAAAGTTCACATTAAAATATAGCAGTTAGTCTTTAAAGTGCCACCATCGGTTTTGTCTTTTTTTAATTTGTTCTTTTATTTTTCTAAATTTGTTTAACCTATATTAAACAATTGTTTAGTCTTCCTTAAGGGCAAACAAAGGAAGAGAGGACAACAGGGATCTTGCAAAACCAAGAGTTGATAAGGTATGCCCAAGTAGCACTAAATCTTAGCTTTGCACAGAAGTTGGCAAATTCCAGATAAGCTGAATTGCAACTCTCATCATCCTCCATCATTGGCTATATGGGGAGATTTGACAAAAAAACCTGAATTTCAACAGTATCTGAAGGGTCACACATTGTCCACCCCTGGTTCAACATCATGTGAAAACCAGCATCAGAGGGCACTACAAGAAATGGGAACCACCATTCTATGGAAGAGAATGTTTAAAAGAAACAAGCTCTTCCTGGCAATCCTGCTCCTCACTTCTGCTGTTTGGCAATAACTGGAAGGACTTACGGGTAATTCCAAATAAATCCAAATGTAGTTGGAAAAATCAAAGCAAAGCTTGGAAGTACTACAACTCCTAAATAAATCCAAATGTAGTTGGAAAAATCAACTTATAGTGGGAACTATAAGCCAAAAAGTAATCTTCCCAAACATTGCATCAAGAAAATAAATGACAATTCAACAACACACACAGGCTCACCATCGTTTTCACTCAGCACAGCATCAGCAGAGTCAGGGAGCTGCTCCCAGGGCATCCTGTGGATGGAAGGGCCTTCTTCTATGTGCCCTCTGGCTTCATCATAGCTCCAGTGGAGACCTCCCTTGAAGAAATAAGTTTTCCTGTCCAAAGGCCACGAAAAGGCACCGTCAATGCCTCCCTGAGGCAGCCCAAAGTCTGTGACAGGCCGAGGATAGCCCTCTTCCACACCGTTGTCCTTGAAGACCCAGTACAGAGGCCCTTGAGCAGTGAGGAGGAGAGAAAAAGATCCATGTTCTCCAGCCAAAAACAACAACAGAGCCCCTTGGCACCTCAACAGTTAGGATATTCTAAGCTTTTCGGGGCTACAAACAACTTTGGACTCTTTCCCCCCCAAGCCTTTATTTTTAAGCCTCAAAATCTGTTTGACCGACTCGCATAATCATTGACTTCGCTGGATGGGGACGCCATGGGTTTTTGTTCAACATATTTGAATGGCAGTAGGTTTTAGGAAGATGGGTGTAATTCATTAAAGGCAACAGATCAGTTGCAGATATGTCTGCATGGACACGGTAGTTGAAGGGACAGTGCAGTATGGAAATGTCAACAGTTAGAATCTTCTAGATACCATGACCAGTGTCTATACTGGCTGGGGCTTGCACTTTTGTGCATGTGTATGTGTGTATTATGGCAGATGTCGTCCAAAAATTAAACACTTTACCAGCACTCATTCTACTTATTTATAAATAAAGCTTTGGAGAGCAGATGCATGCAGCAGGGGGAAACTTTTTGGACCAGATATATATAGGACTGTAAGTTGATTTGTTTAATTTATTTTTTACCCCACCTTTCTCCTTAAAGAATCCAAAGCGGGCAACTACAGACGTTCAGATTTCCTGTTCTGCAAAATGGCCAAGCAGGGTTTTGCAACTGCTTTGGAAGCCGTCTTTAGTCGCTCATCATCAGTACCAGCACAAAAAAGGCTACAGCCTAGGGCGCTGCAGTTATCTGTACAACAGAAGCTTGCTTTAAGCTGAAGGTAGAATCAAGTAAACAAAGTCTTACTAGTTCCTTATGAGAGATTATTATACAGTAGGTCCTGTTTGGGGAGAGGAGAAATAATCTCTAGTATAGAAGTGATGAAACAACTCCCCAAGAACTCGGGAGACATTTCCTAGAAAACTATGATGACCAGATGTGTGCAACATAGAGGATGTACTAGAAACATGACTTTTTAATGTTCGAAGTGTAGCTTAATATAAACATGGATGGGGCTATATGGGACGTATACAGTATACACTGGACAGCAGCTGCCCAGTGATAACCACAGGAAAGGGATATTGTCTAAATGTTCCACTTTCAGGTTTCCCAGAGGTCTCTGTCTGGGCAGTGGTTGGAAACCTGAGGGGGCCAGTTGAGTCTGACTGGAGATTTGAAATGTTACACCTTTGGGTCAAAATCCAATTGCTAATGCTCGAGTAAATCCATTAAATAATCTGAGCTTCTGTATGTCATTGATTTAATGGGTCTACTGCAGCTGGATTTAGTAACTGATTCCGGCTTGGATTCCAACGCCCAGAATCAGAATTCCAAGGAAAATGGGAGTTGGGAGTCCAAGCCCCAACCTTCCCCCTTCCCTTTTCCAAGCATTTTATTCTGATACCAGTGACAGCAAATAATCAGTTCCATGCACACGACCTCTTACCACTGAAGAAGAGGATGCGGTGATCTGTGTGCCTCTCATAAACAGCGTCTACTTTGCGGAGGGTGGGAGGGAGGCCTCGCCAGAATCCAGTGATCAAGGCCGGGCGTAAAGAGGTCAGGTGTCGACTTTGGGTCAGACGCCAAAAATACTGACCTGCCAGAGGAGAAAGGCAGCATTGGACTCTGATTGAGATCAGAAGCTTAGCTCTGCCTGGCTTAGCTCACCAAGACAAGGGGGAATCTTTCTCACAGGATTATTTTGCAGTCGTGGATAAAGCTCAGTGTAGGAAAACATCTCAAAAAGGATACTGCAGAGGTAAGGAAAGGCAAGCAAACAGTAAGGAAACCAGTATAGAAAAGTTTTGCCTGAAGGTTTCCAGGATAGGAAAAGAAAAAAATAAATGAGTAAGGAGTGCTAAATGGAGAAAGAGGGCAGAGCTAAGCTTTTCTCCTTTTGCCATAATAGTAGAACCTGGAAAAAAAAAAAAAAAAAAAAAAAAGCTGAACAGTGGACGAGTCAGACAGACAAGACAAAGAGCTCCGCACAGGACATTATTAAAATGTAGATTTTGTTACTGCACAATGTTGTGATGAAGACCAACAAGAAGAGAGATTAGAAAAATGTGTGGTCCCGTCATCAAAGTGAGACCTAAAGCTGTCCCTTGCCATTAAGGATCAGGTTGGCTATTATACACAAAGTTCTACCTGAGGTCTTTGTTTCCTAGCCATTCTGGAGACGGACAGAATGTGGGAACAGAGTCCAGTAGAGGCAGAGACTGGCAAAACACTTTTCCCCTTACAGTACTCTGAAGCAGTTTACATACAGTTCTGGTCTTCAATCACCACACCATCAATTACAGCTGCCATACATTCCACAGCAGCAGCTGAGTCCTTTTCAAGGGCTCTGTAGCACATCTTTGTAAAGATAACAGGACTGTTGTTCTCTACATCTTTCACAAGGACTTAAAACATAGGAAGATGGTCCACCCTAGCTCAGTATCTTCTACACTGACTGGCAGAACCCGGTTTACAGGGTTGAAGACAAAATGCTTTTGTAACCCTGCTTGGAGAAGAGGGGACTGGAATACGAATGGGAGCTTCTGCACCCAAAGCGCAGGCTCTAACACTGATCCATGGCAAGGAAAACCTGCTTCAAGTGCAAAGCCACTGACCTTTGAAGAAGAACGTTTCCCCTCTGATCTGAGCCACAGCATCAACACTGGAGGCGCAGCGGTCTGGGAATTCCTTTCCTGATCTGAAGCAAAGAAACGGGGACGGGGGGTGGGGGTGGGACCAAAAGATCACACAGTGTGAAATCCCAGTGCTGTAAGGAGGAAATGTTGGCCACCCGTTGCCTCTCACGTCACACCCATAAGGGCACCCCTAACCTGCTGGTAAAGCAGCCCATTTCAGCAGTGGCATGTTTGCTATTCCACCACACCTATAATAATTCTGATCACCATATTTTATTGTGGATTTAGTTCTTATATCTTAGAATCTCCAAGCAGCAGTTTTCTCCCCTTCCCATTTCTTTCTCCCAACAACCCTGTGAAGCAAATTAGACGAAGGCGAATTCTGAATTGATTCTCTGAAGACAGCAATGCAAATGAAAGTGATTCAAAACCATGTTGCATTCATGTGGTTTTGAGTCACATGAGGGCTGACCATCAGCTGTTTGGTGCTGCCTGGTAAACCAGAGAAACATTAGAGCTGAATTCCACCCCCATGGAAGGACACCCACCCCCCCCCCCGCTCTGCAAATCCCCCAGGTGAGTGATTTGGCTCCACAGCTTCTTCCAGCTTCACAGTGCAGCACCAGTCAGCTGATGGTTGACCCTCTGGCTGCTTGGAAGACGCCATGCAGGGAATCCCCCAGCTGGGAGGAGGTCACCACAACACACACCGCCTGAGAAAACAAGGTTAGTCACAGGCAGCAGGCCAGGAGGTGACTGGATAGTGGGGGGGGGAGGGATAACGGAGGGGGAAAAGGGCAAGAGGGACAGGGAAGGAGGTGAAGAAGGAAAGAGGGGGCACAGGGTGAGGGTGGGAGGCCACGGGGACAGGTGACTGAGCAGTTTAAAAAATCCTTCCCCCCTCCCTTATTTGGAACACCTCTGCTTCAGATAGCAGGATTTATTTTTTAAAAAAAGCAGCAGGAGTGCTCACATGTGTTATTCTGCTACCCTACCCAAAAATGAATGGACCTCTGAGAGGGGAGGAGAATAACTCACTCCCCCTGGCACAAGTGCCTCCTGTGTACACTTAAATTTAAACCATGTTTTTAAAGGAAAACCCGGTGCAACAGATGTTTTTTTTTTTCCAGTAGGATCAGGCCCAGAGAGGGAAAGGAAAATGTGAGGGTCGTTTTATACATGGTAGTAAGGGAGGAGTGATCAAAGCACTTTGATCCCTGCTTTCCCCCTCCACTTTCTTTGCAAAAAGTGGAGGGGGAAACCAGCTTTTTGCAAAGAATGTAGAGAGGGAAAGGACTTTCCTCTGAAGAAAATGGAAGGGGAAAGAAGGAATTGTTTAGAGTTCTGACTCCTGTCCTCTGAAGATGCCAGCCACAGAGACTGGCGAAATGTTAGGAAGAACAACCTTCAGAACATGGTCAGAGAGCCTGAAAAACCCACAACAACCATTAGAAAGCCTTCGCGAATACAAATAATATCTCACCTTAATCAATGAATCTCTGGGGTGCAAACACAGATCCCTTCCTTTGCAAATGGGGAGTTAATCAAACCAGGCTTTCCTGTTCCCTTCGAGCCTCCCTCAAATTCTCAAGAAGAAAATGATTGACTTTCTCAATCACAATACACTGTTGTGAGTTATCTCTTTAGAAATACAAAGTATTTGGGAGTGTCTTGAATTGACAGTTTAAACTCACTGGCTTTGCAAACACACACACACACACACACACACACACACACACACTCCTGAAAACTACTCATTATTGAGATTGTGAGAACTGCCCACATTTTTACAATCTTTTGTGGGGATGGGGTGGCATGTAATCTGTTGATAGGAGCCTGCCCATCAAAAGTTAGCATTATACTGCTGCACTAACCCCCAACATCAGACTAGTTATAGGAACTAGAATGTCACTTAAACCTAATTAATTGCCTAGGGCTCAACGATGGCTCAGTTAATTGAGCATCACTGGCCAAGCACAGTGAAACTAGTCAACCACATTAATACTGAAAACAGAAGTTGGATTTTAAACACAATGCTTGTGCTATCAAACTTGATAGAGAGATATAGGCCAAAACCCTCTTTCTCAAATTTGGATGGTATTTGTCGTATTTTCCCGTGTATAAAATGACACTTTTTCCTAAAATAATTAGAGGAAAATGTGAGGGTCGTTTTATACATGGTAGTAAGGGAGGAGTGATCAAAGCACTTTGATCCCTGCTTTCCCCCTCCACTTTCTTTGCAAAAAGTGGAGGGGGAAACCAGCTTTTTGCAAAGAATGTAGAGAGGGAAAGGACTTTCCTCTGAAGAAAATGGAAGGGGAAAGAAGGAATTGTTTTCCCCCTTCACTTTCTTGCGAGGAAAGTGCTTTCCCACTCCACTTTTTGTGAGGGGGCAAGCAGCTTTTTGCAAAGAAAGTGGAAGGGGAAAGCAATTTCTTCCCAAGAAAGTGGAGGGGGAAAGCAGGAATCAAAGCACTCTGATCCCTGCCTTCCCCCTCCATTTTCTTGCAAAGAAAGAAACGTTGGGTTAGAAAAGCGGGGGGCATCTTATACATGGAGGTGTCTTATACATGGAAAAATACGGTACATAGTCTGTAGAAGCAGAATGCCATTAGTGAAAGCCACATGCAAACCCACCACATTTTCTCAGTGAGATTTAAGTGGAAAGCAACCAGGAATTGAAACAAGAAACTACTGGCACTCTACCAGCGCAAGTTATGGTATTTCCCTTACGTCAATATAATTTACATGAGAGAATTTTGTCCACTGTCTTGGTCCCAAAACTTCCTAAGTCAGTGGGAACTCATATTTACATATATCCAGAGCTTGGGGAGGAGTTTTCTCTTCCTTTTAACTACATCTTCCAGAATCCCACAGTCAGGACAATCATGGATCATGCCAACTGGAAGAGTCTGGAAACTAGAATTCAAAAAGTAACTGCACCCAGCTCTGGATACATGCCAACTATTTACTTCTACTATACCACAGGCCTATGCTGGCATAGGTAAATACAGTAGGTGGCTTTGGAGGCCTCGTTACTTTCTGCACTGGTCTGATGACCATATTTCCACAAATCCAGCATTTTAAAAGTGCCCATTAATAGGCTTCTCAAGCTCAGATTTATTAAGAAGTCTCAACATGATGCATCATTTGAACACAGGTGATCCAAGCGGCAACACTGTGTAGGCCTAGGACTGTGAGACAACTATTGTGCAACGTATTTCCACAAGCATTCTACAGTCACTACTTCTGATCTGGCAGGTCCACAGCTACTGAGAACAGCACAGGAGTCAAGGACGATGCAACGTACGTATATGGCACAGAATGCCCTCGCTATTTATCTCTTCAAGTTTACTGTACAAAAGGCACTTTCTAACCTGAGGGCAGGAAAGTCATTTGGCAAGGAGAGAAGATCTGGGAGCAGTGAAATTACTTCTGGCTTCTCTGTAGAATGAAGAACTCTACTTCCTGGGTGATTGATTTTAAAAGAAAGAGAGAGAGAGAGAATGTTAGTGAATGCTCAGAAAAGCCTACGGTTTGTTCAATACACTTCATGGATGCAGGAAAGTGCAAACAAGTGACCAGGGCAAACAGAGAAGGCTTATTTGAATGAAGTCCACTGCAAAACTAGTGTGAGGCCAAACAGAACATTTCATTGCTATCTGGCCTAGAGAAGCCTGCAAAAAAAAATCCTTCACTAAAAACCAGGCGGGAGCTGCTTCAGGTTCTAACAGAATGACGGCATGCATGCTGCAGTTACGGCAGTTTGATAGCACTTTTGTTGCCATTATTGTTGTTGTTGTGTTGTTTAGTTGTTTAGTTTGGAAAGTTTCTTTTTTACTACTATAAATCCCCAGCTAGTATAGTCAGTGGCCATGCAGTATGGGGGACTCTGGGACTGTAGTCCAGCAAAATTATTCGTCTATAAGAAAAGTGTTCCATTTCATTAGCCAAGAACCTCATGGTGCAGTGGCTAAAATGCGGTATTGCCATGATGACTCTTTTCCCAACCCGAGCTTGCTCGAGGTTAATTTAACCTTCCATCCTTCCAACATCAGTAAATTGAGTATACTCAGCTCATTGGGGGAAGGGGGGGGCAATGTGTAGCCTGCATAATTAAATTGTAAACCATTCACAGAGAGCTTTAAACACTATGGAGTGATATATAAGCACACTTTGCTTATTCGCTTTTGCCAAAGTTTCAGATGTGGATTCTGGAATGCAAGCATCATGTGCTATTTGCATCAAAGACATCCTCACCAAGAGTTCCCTTTTCAAGCAGTTTCTGTTTTAAAGAGATCTGGGACAAATTTTTCCTTTCTTTGCCATGTGATTTTCTGTGATTCACAAAAAAGCTGTTAAGATTCTGTGGTCACAGGAAGACAAATCAGAGAAGCCAAAAATGAATTTTTTTATGGCTCTCGGGGAAAAATCCCCCAAAATATACTAATCCAACTGAGCTCTGTTAGAAATTGAGCAACTCCAAACAGGTACTGCTTACATTTTTTTTTTTACAGAATGCAAACTTATTAGATTTTTGGGCCAAATTCTCTTTAACAAACACTCTTAGAAAAAAGAAAAACACTACTGTTCGTTATCTAGATTCTACAGCCTGTGGAGAACACTGTAGATCCCCAGATGTTATTGGACTCAAAATGCCTCTCATCTTTCCCTAAAAACTTTGCTTGTATGAATTTTGAATTCCAACTCCCATTGCTCCTGACCATGGACAGTTTTCGGCTGGGAATGACCAAGCTGCAATTGAACATCTGGAGAGGTCACAAGATTCCACTGCAGTGGAGAACTGATCACTCCAAAGTCATGAAGCCAGCAGTATCTGTTCTGAGTTTTAGTCTAAACTTTAAAGACACAGCCCAAGGCCCTGAAGCCTGGATCGCTCCTGTAAAGTTCAAACTCTAGGGCAGATTCACCATCCCTGGGACGTTGTTGACACCAACCCCCACTCACTTCAAGACAGCATGACCCTGCTTTTTTTATGGTAATGAGCAAAACCGAAGTAGCCAAGCACTGTGAATACCATAAAGCTTCTGGATCTCATCGCCGTCGTCCACATGCAGCTCATACTGCAGAGGGTCTCCCACTGGTCCCTGGTAATAGGGGCGCATAATTGAATGTTTAGAAGACGAATGCGCTAGGCCAAGACTGTGGCCAAATTCATGGACAGCCACAGCAAAAAGGTCAGTACCCAAATCGTCTGTCAAAAGATGAGAAAGTGATCTGTCAATGGCTTTTATCTTGGCAAGGTGAAGGAAGGGAACACGATGAAAAATAACTGGGGCAGATCAATCACCATATCGAAAGGGACATAGTCTAACCCCTTGCTCAAGGAAACAAGTCCTTGAACCACTGATCCGTTGATGTATGATATTTTCTTTTGTAGTCATTTGGAGCCTCAGCAATTCCTACGTGAAATATTCTTCCCTTTAAAATCTGACATATAGCAACAATTCTTATTCTCAGATACACGTTGAAAACATTTTCGTTCTTGAAAACCTTCCCTATGTACTCCACCCTACCATCTTTTTCATGGACAATATAATATATTGTATTTTTAATCTTGCAAGTTGCATTATACACACTGAATCTTTTACTCTTCTTGTACACAACACAACACTGGATTTAAGTGATTTATAGTTTTTTTAAAAAATAAATTCATAATATATAAATGTAAGACATATTTCTGAACAAAACAGAGGAAGTGAAATAACATGGCTCCAGAAGAGTACTCTAAATGACCCTACCAAGTGAAATGCTAAAAGGATTCCAGGATTCTGGAGGCTTTATCCAAGAAATCAAGGTCCTCACCTATTTTCCATCATACATAGAATGGAATTCAAGGTTCCACAACCATAATCACCCATGGAGAAGGACAAAGGAAATGGGTGGGGCTGATAAAAGTCCATGGCAGCTGTGGAGAATTAGGGGACTGGTAGTTATTTGAAAGGCATTATGTACACAGAATACCAAGTCCTAATAGCTTGCTGCTCCCTTGGAGTTTAACCACCTCCATCCATTTCCTCTTGATTCCTCACAGGAACATAATGGCTGTAACTGAAAACTCTTGTGAAGATTTTGATTTCATAGCTAACATTTACTCTTCTTGTACACAACACAACACTGAATTTAAGTGATTTGTAGTTTTAAAAAAAATAAATACATAATATATAAATGTAAGCCATATTTCTGAATAAAACAGAGGAAGGGAAAAAACATGGCTCCAGAAGTGCTAAAAGGATTCCAGGATTCTGGAGGCTTTATCCAAGAAATCAAGGTCCTCACCTATTTTCCATCATACATAGAATGGAATTCAAGGTTCCACAACCATAATCACCCATGGAGAAGGACAAAGGAAATGGGTGGGGCTGATAAAAGTCCATGGCAGCTGTGGAGAATTAGGGGACTGGTAGTTATTTGAAAGGCATTATGTACACAGAATACCAAGTCCTAATAGCTTGCTGCTCCCTTGGAGTTTAACCACCTCCATCCATTTCCTCTTGATTCCTCACAGGAACATAATGGCTGTAACTGAAAACTCTTGTGAAGATTTTGATTTCATAGCTAACACCTCAAGAATTCTGGCTAGGGGAATTCCTGTTGATTTCTGGGGTCTGAAGTCCAACAAATCTAAAAGTCTTCTGCCTAACTGCCACCTTTTTGTTCTTCAAATGTGACATTTAGTCAGAACCTAAACCCAAACAGACTAAATAAGGGGGCTTAAGACAGGTCATATGGCATGTAATGCTGTACTTTCCAACAGAAGGAAGTCATGATGAACAGTCTAGAGCAGTGGTCCCCAACCTTGGACCTCCAGATGTTCTTGGACTTCCAACTCCCAGAAATCCTGGCCAGCAGAGGTGGTGGTGAAGACTTCTGGGAGTTGGAAGTCCAAGAACATCTGGAGGCCCAAGGTCAGGACCACTGGTCTAGAGCACTTGCAGTCATTGACTCCCAGTTTTTCTGCCAGAATTGTTCCAACCCACCCTCATTTGCTGTGAACGTCAAACTACCTGGAGAGCGGAAGGTCCAGTCCTCGTCGCCATCAAAGTGAACATTACCAGCCCTTTGGGGATCTCCAGGAAAGAAGGCATGGGCCACCATTCCGCCTGGCCCATCAAAAGGGTAACCATCACGGTGGTCGAGCCGGAGAAACTCCACTGAGATGTCAACACTGTGGCCGCCCACCTCATGGAAGTTCAAGGGTGTGGCTTCACTCCAAACCTTTAGAGCATAATACATCAATGTGCGCATGGTTTCTCTGCTAAGACGGGATTCCCTTGGGTAGGTCTTCACCCTAACGAAGAAATGCATGAAAGTAGCAAGTTTCACACTCCTGCTCTGCTTGCAGACAGGTAGGAAGGCAACAGCCTCTACCAATCAGACTAAAAATCCATAAACCCCAAAGCATCTTGTTTACTGTGGCAAATCCACATATCCAGAATACAGATCAAGGTGGACTGAGATAAAAAATTAATACAGATCAAAGTGGATTGAAATGAAAAATAAGAAAGCCTATCACAGGACAGTTCTTGTTGGAGTTGCAGCAACTGTTCCATGCTGCCTTTAAGAGATTTGGCTGACAGGGATTTTTCTCCACTGAGGTGCCTCTGATTTTGAAGATAGCCATGCCTCTCTGCTTAAGAGTATTTATCCCTCCTTTTTTTAAAGTCACGTATGCTGTGGTCTGCTGGCAGTTAGTGATACGTACTGTGTTTCCCTGAAAATAAGACAGGGTCTTATATTAATTTTTGCTCCAAAAAACTCATTAGGGCTTATTTTCAGGGGATGTTTTATTTTACAGTCATGTTATCGTCTTCTGGTTGCTGTACAACCTGAAGACGTACAATGTTTCACTTAGCTGGGGCTTACTTTTGGATGAGGGCTTATATTACGAGCATCCTGAAAATACTAGGGCTTATTTTCAGGTTAGGGCTTATTTTCAGGGAAACAGGGCAGTGCAGTTATGTATGCAGTTAGCAATTTATGCAGTTTGTAGTCTGCAAGAGTCTGCTGGAAGCAGGCTATGAGTCAGTTAAGGCTTGTTCATGTAACCAGTAATTTTTGTATATTATGCCATTGTAAACATCTGTTCAGAACTGTGAGTAAATAAAACTTTTTAAATTATTTGTCTTACCAATGTCTCAGAGCAAATTATTGAAACTCTAAGTGCCAGTTGATGAAAACCAAAAAGGGATGGTATACTCTGGGAAGACCTGAAGCAAATTCTGTTCTGTATATCCTCTGTGTAGGTAGAGATTTTTTTTAACTAAAATCCACACTCTGCCAAGATTTCTAACACAGAAGAGTGTCTGTCTGTTGCATTCAAGTAGATGGTAAATCAGAGAGACCCCTAAGAACTGAAGTCAACTGAGCTTTAGCTATATTTCTTAGGATCTAAACACTTCTTTCTGTAGAACTTGTGTATATGATGTGCTATTGAGTCACACCCAACTTATGGCAACCCTAATAGGGATTTCAAAGCATGTGAGATACTAAAGGAGTGTTTTTACCATTTAGTTGTTTCTACCCCACTGATTATAACCCTTCACGTATTCACCCACCACAGAAGCATGTGTATCATAATCTATCAAGGGTGGTAACACTTTATGAATCTGTAATGGGGAATGGAGCACCAAAATGTGTGTGTATGTTATATGCTGTCAAGTTGCTTCCAGATTATGACAACCTTAATAGGGATATTAAATCTTGTGAGATAGTTAAGGAGTAGTTTTACCATTGCAATTATGTTTCTTTGGCTGACTGGAGATTTGAACCCAGGTCTCCTGAGTCTTAGTCCATCAATGTATTCACAAAAATATAGAGTATAATAAAACTTGCTAATTTTTAAGCTGGCTGATATTTGCAAAACCTTGAGTCAATGAGCCTCTAAAACGTTGGAGTACTGTACTTTCTGTCCTCTATCGCCCCCTGGTGCTACTTTGAGGGTGCTGAAAGATCAATAGGTATCCACTGGAATCCTATCCTATTCAGAAGCACAAAACACTAAGTTGAATAAGACATACTTAGAGTACTCACTGTGCTTAGATTTACAACATGGGGGTATTCTAAGCATTAACTGCCTTAAATAAATTTGTGATCTAACAGGTCTAGAATAAGAATTTCTAAAACCTAGGCAAATTATATATAAACATTTAGTTTCCATGTTCCACCAAAAGGTTCTTTTCACTAGCCCACATGTACAGCAATCCCCCGTTTCCCTATTCTCATAAGGGAGATTTCAGAATTTCAGCCATCCAGCGGATCGTGTCCTCTCCCCAAGATCTCTGCTCCATTCGTCCTCACCCGTTTCCTATCCCTTTTGCCAGTCAGTTCTGCTGGCCAATAAGCACTGCTCTTCCACTCTTTGTGGTC